CTTTCTTTCTTTCTTTCTTTCTTTCTTTCTTTCTTTCTTTCTTTCTTTCTTTTCTTTCTTTTCTTTCTTTCTTTCTTTCTGTTTCTTTCTTTCTTTCTCTCTCTTTCTCTCTCTTTCTTTCTTTCTTATTATCTACCTAGAGTACTCTCCTCTTCTGCAGTTAAGATATTTTTTTTTTCCTTGACATTAGACCTTTGTCATGTGCTCCAAGCCTGGGTATGAATTGTTCTAGAATTTTTTAACCAAAAGTTTTCTTCCTTTTCCTATATATTAAGCTCTGTCCTCTCCTTCATCTTGTAATGTGCTAGTGTCATTGCAAACAAAGGTGCCACACTTTAGTCTTGTGTATAGAATTCCTTCCTGAGCTAACCTATTCTTTGGAGTTTGGATGAATGTAAGCCTCTTCTTCATCTTTCCAAGTTGTACAGGAAATATTTTCACTGAACCACAAGTTGGGCTAATGATTTTATTTTCAATTACTAGGCCTAATAATAATTGTAGAGCAAGAGTCAAAAAACACACGTGAACTTCAAATAATACCAAATATGCCTTATTGGCGCTCAGAACAATTTTTGAATCACTTTAAAGGTAATTCTGCTGGCTGTATTTTTAAATAGCTCTGGGTCACTTAAGGGATCTTAAAAAATATTTTCCACTTGATAAAGCACAGGCAATATTAGTCAAGAAAGTTCTATTTGCAGGTTAGAATGCAGCAGGTTAAAAATAGAAAATGTGCTGCCCTAGGCATCTGAAGACCTGGTTTCTTGCCCAGACTTTTATGTGATTTTACCTGCATCCTGTAGCGTTTCTCTTTTCTACTGTTACCAGCTACCTGTCTATCCAACAGCTTATGGTAACACATGTTCAAGTTTGAGCCCTATAAAAATGCTATAAAAAATATAAACTTTAATTCAAAACCTTATAGCAAAATGTCGCTTCACCTATAAAAGAACTGTATAGTTTGTGACTTAATTTAAAATCATTAATTTCCAAAAACTATTAAAACTTATATTGTATAATTGTATAGTTAAATATGCTTTTAATTTTAACTGTTTAGGTGAATTTCAGTTTTTAAATGCTAATGAACATATATATAGTTGTATGCATTATATAAATTTAATATCTATGAAATAAATTGACAGGTTGAACCTATCCAAAATATTCTTTTTTATTGATACAACAGTATTTTCCTAATATATTCTATTATTGATTTCTTAACATCTATGCTGTCCTTCTTAGAAATCTGAATACTCACTTTCAAAACTATGTATCTGATAAATCTCAAAACGTATATTTCATTCAATGTGTTTTTTGTTGTTAAGACAGAGTCTCACTTTGTCGCCCAGGCTGGAGTATAGTGGCATGGTCTCAGCTCACTGCAACCTTTGCCTCCTGGGCTCAAGTGATTCTCCTGCCTCAGCCTCCCAAGTAGCTGGAATTACAGGTGCCTGCCTAGCACCATGCTAGCTAATTTTTGTGTTTTCATAGAGATGGGGTTTCACCTTGTTGGCCAGGCTGACCTCAAGTGATCCATCTTTCTCGGCCTCCCAAAGTGCTGGGATTACAGGTGTGAGCTACCGTGCCTGGCCCAAGAATTATTTTTCTTTCGAAATTACTTACAGGATATTCATCTGGCTTCTGCAGATCAATCCCAATCTCTTGAACTTTATACATTTATGTGACTTTACATTGATAATTGGTCTTTATAATAATGACCTTGAATTACTATATGGTACCCGAATATTTTCAAAATCTTCAAAGTAAGATTGTAGTATTGTTAAGGGATTCTTAGCATGTTGCTTTCCCAGCTAGAAACCTCTTTGGCCAGTGGTGTCTTTGCCGGAGTTTTGCTCTGGCCCTCTGGGCTGGTTTCACCCACTTGGCGTGACAGGCTATGTCAGCTTGCACTACCAGCCTGTATCCCACGCCTGCCTGGTGGTGAGTAGTATGTGAGCTGGCATGGGGTCCAGCCACTGCACAGAGGCAGGCATGCCAACTGCAGTGGGGCGGGCAACTCCAGGCATGCTAGCTCCTTGCAAAGTTGTGGCTGGACCAGGCATACCATAAGCAGCGGCCATGGCTGACACGGGAAGACAGTGTGGCCCCCAGAAGCTTGGAGATGCCAGGAACCACAGAGCCTTAAAGAGGGTGTCACAGCCCCGGTTCAGGGAGCTCCTAGGTCTGGGTTCCCTGAAAGGCTGCAGCTCTTCTCTCCTCTCTTCTCTCTTTGTCACCTGCAACGTGGTGAACAAGGGGCATGTTTCAGCCCTGTTTGTATTACTCCTCTTTTAGCCCCATCATTTGGCAGGTCCCAAGTTCTTGTCTTGAGTCCAGGAAGAATGAGGTATGCAGATAAGTGAAGGGTGAGCAAGATGAAGAGGAGTTTTATTGAGAGATAGAACAGCTCAGAGGAGACCCGCAGTGGGTAGCTCCTGTCTGTAGCACTTTGAGAGGCTGAGACGGGCAAATCACTTGAGCTCAGGCGTTCCAGACCATCCTGGGCAACGTGGCAAACCCCTGTCTCTATAAATAATGTAAAAATTAGCCAGTCATGGTGGCACACACCTGTGGTCCCAGCTACTGGGGAGGCTGAGACAGGAGGATTGCTTGAGGCTGGGAAGGGGAGGCTGTAGTGAGCCAAGATCATGGCACTGCACTCCAGCCTGGGTGACAGAGTGAGACACAGTCTCAAAAAAAAAAAAAAAAAAAAGGAACACACACACACACACACACACACACACACACACACACACACACACACACACCAAAAAACTAAAACAAAAAAATAGTTTTTCCTATATGAAGTAAAATGAAAGGACCAAGTGAATAAAAGGTACATGCATGTGTGCATGCGCACGTGTGCACACACACTTACATACCTCTAAAAAGGCCAGCCAACTGCAGGAATTATAGTAACTATAGTAGCACTCTGACCTTTTCTGCATGATGCGATCAGTTGAGAAATTAGATGATCTGATCTGGGAGGTTTTCAGTCCTGTGGTATTTAGGTCCTTGTAATAATAAAGATGCAATGAGCAGGCACACCTAGCAGCCTTTCTAGGATACACTCATCCGTAATTCACATAAGAAACATAAGTATGTTTGAAATCTGTGACATCGTGCTCTCAGAAGCCTGAATGGGCAGTTCTGGTAATGCCTGCCCAAAGTTCGTCACTTCCATACTGTATTGCTGACTAACTCTGTTTGTGACCAGCCAAAGAACGTCAAGGAAGAAGGGAGAATGGCGTCAGGGCCCCTGTTGTTAGGGTCCTTGCCCTCTCACTGTGAGAAGAAATTCCCAGTGAGAAGGAAGTCAGGAGCTTGGACTGCCTGTCTTGAAATCTAATCCCCGTCTTCCTTTGAGAATTCTGCTTCCTTGATAAATCTTGTGTATAAACGAGGCTATAGCTCTTCTGAAAGGGACACTCAGGCACATTAACATAGACAACCAGCGTCTTAAAATATGACTGATGAGGTAATGGATGTTTAGGTGGACACATGGAGTGGCAAACTTCCCAAGGAGCAAAAATCTGGAAGATCTGAGACCTGTGTCAAAGCCAGAGTTCACAGGAGGCACTCACTTTCTAGGAACACCTCTGCCACAGACTGTTCTGAATTCAAACCTCCCAGTAGCCTGTTTTCTACCATTTTGTTTCTTTTTAATCATGCCTGTGGCCTGAACCCATGGTGCTCATGACATGGCATTGTCCTGCTTCGGAACAGAGCTGACTGGCATTTAATTATTGTATGTAATTTGTTAGAAACAAACTAACCATCTATCATTTCTGGTAGTAGCTTTTCTCTTTGGAAAGCAAAAGCCATGTTTTCTTAGAAGGTTAAATTCTTTTTTTTTTTGAGATGGAGTTTTGCTTTCGTTACCCAGGCTGGAGTGCAATGGCATGATCTCGGCTCACCGCAGCCTCCGCCTCCTGGGTCAGGCAATTCTCCTGCCTCAGCCTCTTGAGTAGCTGGGATTACAGGCACGTGCCACCATGCCCAGCTGATTTTTTGTATTTTTAGTAGAGACGGGGTTTCGCCATGTTGACCAGGATGGTCTTGATCTCTTGACCTTATGATCCACCCGCCTTGGCCTCCCAAAGTGCTGGGATTACAGGCGTGAGCCACCGCACCCGGCCAGAAGGTTAAATTCTTTTATGCTAAAGGTCCTATGGGAGTTGTTTATAAAATGAAAGAAAATTCTTTTGTGTATGACATTTATAAAATAATATTAGAAGACTAAAAGACTACGGATTAAAATAATATAATTTTTGAATTTATAAGCTTAAATCCAAGTATATGTCTTTATTGTGTCCAGAATAATGAAAATAGAGAAATAATTTTGATATATTTCATATGATTTAAAATAATAAATTTGATGGCCTTAATATTAATAATACAGAGCTAAAATGTATACTAGAACTACTAATATGTTATTCTAAAGAGAATATATTATTTTTAAATTAACTTTATTAAATGCTAAACAAAAGTAAGAAATAATGAAGCCATGTAGTATTCAAAAACAGAATTGAGTGTCTCCTATGAAATATTCACAACAAAAATAAAAATTGTTGGGATATGTGCATTTACATAATAAATAGTAGCACTCTTACAGTGTATTAAAAATAATTACTGTATTACAGTGTAAGAAATTATCTCTTAGAAGCACTCTTCTTGTCAGCTGGACTTAAAACCTCTGCATCATCTTTTTTTATAAAATTTATTTATTATACTTTAAGTTCTGGGGTACATGTGCAGAATGTGCAAGTTTGTCACATAGGTTTATATGTGCCATGGTAGTTTGCTGCATCCATTACCCCGTCATCTACATTCGGTATTTCTCCTAATGCTATCCCTCCCCAATCTCCCAACCCCGTGCTATCCCTCCCCAATCTCCCCACCCCGTGCTATCCCTCCCCTAGCCACCCCCTCCAACAGGCCCTGGTATGTGATGTCCCCCGCCCTATGTCCTTATGTTCTCGTTGTTCAATACCCACTTATGAGTGAGAAAATGCAGTGTTTGGTTTTCTGTTCTTGGGTCAGTTTGCTGAGAATGATGGTTTCCAGCTACATCCATATCCCTGCAAAGGACGTGAACTCATCCTTTTTCATGGCTGCACAGTATTCCATGGTGTATATGTGCCACATTTTCCCTGTCCAGTCTATCATCGATGGGCATTTGGGTTGGTTCCAGGTCTTTGCTATTGTGAACAGTGCCACAATAAACATATGTGTGCATGTGTCTTTATAGTAGAATGATTTATATTCCTTTGGGTATATACCCAGTAATGGGATTGCTGGGTCAAATGGAATTTGTATTTCTAGATCCTTGAGGAATCGCCACACTGTCTTCCACAATGGTCAAACTGATTTACACTCCCACCAACAGTGTAAAAGTGTTCCTATTTCTCTACATCCTCTCCAGCATCTCTGTCTCCTGATTTTTTAATGATCGCCATTCTAACTGGTGTGAGACGGTATCTCAGTGTGGTTTTGATTTGCATTTTTCTAATGACCAGTGATGATGAGCTTTTTTTTTTTTTAATATATTTGTTGGCTGCATAAATATCTTCTTTTGAGAAGTACATCATCTTTCTAAAATTTTTATCTAGTGTCTGATACATACAAAGAATGTGTGTCATAATTAATATTTAAATACATACAACAAAATGAACATCATGAACTGACCACTCAAGCTGAGAATTAGAACATTATCAAAATTGCTGCCTCTACTG